ATCACTGAGAGACTGTATGAGCAAGCTGCGTCAACAAAAAGGCAATGCCTCAGAAGCATCGGTCAACTGAAGGGTCAGCTTGCAAGAACTAGAGAGGACATCACCAAAGGCAAGAAGAAGAACTCCGATAAAGCATCAACTCCACATCAAGAAGATAAAAAGCCAGCTGGGCAGTTTCCCAAGACATGCTGTGCCTATTGTACGGGCCAGCACTTTATCGCAGCATGTAAGAACTTCAACGCCTTGACGCCAGTCAAGAGGAACGAGTTCGTGGTCACCAAGAGCCTCTGTTTCAACTGCCTGGGACCTCATCGTAAGAAGAAGTGTNAAAGCCAGCTGGGCAGTTTCCCAAGACATGCTGTGCCTATTGTACGGGCCAGCACTTTATCGCAGCATGTAAGAACTTCAACGCCTTGACGCCAGTCAAGAGGAACGAGTTCGTGGTCGCCAAGAGCCTCTGTTTCAACTGCCTGGGACCTCATCGTAAGAAGAAGTGTACTTCAACTAAGACATGCCACAAGTGCCAAGGAAATCATCACACTCTCATCCATGGAGGTAGCTCACACACCATGAGCCCTCCTCCAAGCCGACCAAGGTCTCCACCAAAAAGCCCTGACCACTCATAGTACAAGGAACCAGGGGAAGTACGAGCAGACAGCGATTCAACAGACAGCGATTCAACAGACAACGAATGAAGTCAGTTCATTCACCATCTCATTGATCATGTCCAACGATAGTACCAGCAGATCAACAGCAGTAGTGAACCTCAACAATCAGAGATCAATGAGATAGAAGAGAACATCAGCAATCAGCAGAATAATCAACTCAGTAGAGAAGAGTGGCGAGCAACTCAGCAGAATTACTCCAATCTAGTTAATCACAACGCATTGATCTTCGGAAATCTGATGGAGAATCATCTCAACGGAAAGAGTTCAATAATCCTTTTCAATCAACTGAAAAAAGGTATATTACCCAGACCAGACTCCAGAGCATCAACATCACCAGAGAAACTCATCGAGCAGATAATCGATCATCTACTGAAATAATCGACTTCCGTTTCCGGACTGCGAGGTGATAGATGGGTATAGTGGTCGCGGAAAATTTTTGTTCATTTTTATTATATTTTGAGTAACAGTGAAGGGGTGGGTGGGTGTGTGGGAGGTGTTTTTAAAGGGTGGATAAAAGAGTGAACGAAGGGGGCGTGAAAGGAGCAGTGTGAGTGAGAGTGTGAGTAGTTATCGGGTGAGAGAGCGTGGGAACGGGTTGGAGGTTAGGGAGGAAAACGTGGCGAAACAGGTGGTTTCAAGAGCGTAGGTGGGTGGGATTAGGAGGAGATATAGGTGAAGGGGGAGAAAGGTAGAAAGGGAGGGCAGAGAGGAAGTAGGAAGGGCAGGAAGCGGTTTAAAAAGGGTACGGCGAAGGGTCGAGAAGAGGTAGGGTAGGGCAAGGGGGAAGTGTGACAGGCAGAGCGGTGTGGAGAAAGCGGGAGAAAGGGAAAGCCGGGAGAAAAAGCGTGGGTAAGGAAGAAAGGTGTGGATAAGGAGGAATGAGCTCCTTTTGGCAGAGGTCGTGCGCGTCACTGCAGTTGACGGGTAACGGAGAGGGTGGTGAGAAAGGGGAGGATAGAGAGGAAAAAGGGGAGGGGTCAGGAGGGGGAAATGATGTGGTCGAGGTAGGCGAAACAGGAGGGGCGGAGGAGACGGAGGCAGAAGATATGGCGTCAGTATACGAGTCGGTGGGAGCGTCAGCAGAGGACTCGGAGTCAGAGAGGTTGAAAGTGAGGAGGAGGGGAAGAATGAGCGAGGCGGAAGCGAAGCTGAGGAATAACCTGAGGAAACGTAGAGTGGCAGCGTTGGCAGGGGGGGAAAAGGATAGGAAAAGGGAGAGAGAAAGAAAGGAAGAGGAGAAGAGGACGGCAGAGGATAGTGAGAAGAGGATGAGAAGCTCGGATTCGGAGGATTCTTCAGGTAGAGGGAATAGAAGCAAGATAAGGAAGAAAGGGCAAGAGAGTGCAATAGAAATGCTGGTAAGGACAATGGAGTCTTTCAGATTGGAAACGTTTGAAAGGCTGAAGGAAGTGAAAGAGGACAGTGGGGCGACGAGGGAGGAGGTTAAGAAGGTTAAGGAGAGCATAGAGAAGTGGGAGGAAAAGTGGGGTGAGGAAAAGAAGAAAATATGGGAGAAGATGGGCGACATGGAGAAACAGTCACTGGAATCGGAGAAGGAGAGAAGGAAGGCTGAGGAAGAGAATGCTAGGAGGATGGTAGAGTTGGAAAAGAAAAGCGAGAAGATAGATCAGCTAGAGAAAGCAGTAGGGGAGTTAAAGGCACGAGGAAGCAAGGATGAGGGGGGTACCGGGGGGAGAACAAGCGAATCCACAGGTAGAAGAAAGGGTAAGGGTGTTGGAAATAAGGGAGAAGAAGCTAGAGAGGGAGAGAAGAAAAAAGAATTTGATAATCAGGAAAATAATGGTGGGAGAGGGGAACGTGAGGAGGGAGGTGTAGGAGCTAATCGAGAATGTACTGGAGGTAGAGGCAAATATAAAGTGGGTACGCAAAATTGGGGGAACGGATAGGTTTGGAGCTAGTTCAGTATTAATAGGGTTCGAGAATGAAGAGCAGAGGGGAAGAGTTATGGAATGCAGGAAAAAGTTGAAGGGAAGGTGGGAGAGGATTGTAAGTGACTTAACTCATGAAGAGAGAAAGATGCAATTGGAAATAGAGAGGGTGGGAGAGATAGAAAGAAGGCTAAATAAGGTAGTAGGGATAGGAAGGGGAAAAGTATGGATTGATGATGAGTTGTGGAAATGGGATGAGGTAAAAGGAGGTTTGTGGAATGCAAGGGGAGTACAGTGGAAAGAAGGATTGAGTAGTACGGGAGGGGGTAGGGGTGAAGCGGTTTTTCAGAAGAGAAGGGGGGAGGACAGCAGGTGAAAGTAGTAGGGGGGGATGTAGGAATGCAGGAGCAAAACAAGTCGATAGTGGAAGAAATGGAGGTAACTCAGTGAGGGAAGTTAGCGGGGAGGAGAACGAAGGGGGGATTTGGAAGGTGGCGTTTTGGAACGTATTGGGTTTGACGAATAAAGATAGGGGTTTTTCGAAGGAACTGGGTAATTGGGATGTGATGGTGTTTTCAGAGACATGGATAAGCAAAAAAGGATGGGAGATAGTGAGGTCGAGGTTGCCAGATGGGTATAGATGGAAGGTAAAAGCGGCGAAAAAGGTGCACAAGAGGGGTTGATTAATGGGAGGAGTGATGATGGGAATCAGGACGGAACGGTGTGAAGAGCATTGGGGGGGTTTTGAAGTAGACAAGGAGGGTAGGGAGGGGTGGATAGAGGGAATAACAAGAGTAGGGAAAGAAGAGGTGAAGATAGTGGGGCTATACGTTAATGGAGACCTAAAGCAGAAGCTGGAAAGGATAAAAGAGGTGATGGAGAAGAAGGATGAAAGGTTAACGTTAATAGGAGGGGATTTCAACGTGAGAACAGGCATAAAGGGTGGATTATGGCAGGAGGAGGAGGGGGGGGGGAATTTGGCTCTAGGAACTCGCGATAAAGAGGTAAACGGGGGAGACAGAAAGCTCATAAAGGTACTGGATGAGGAGGGGTGGTCAATAGTGAATGGAAGCTGCGTGGGGGATGAAGAGAGGGAGTACACATTTGAGAGAGGGGGGAAGAGGTCAGTCATAAATTATGTATTGATGGATGAGCGAGGAAGATTACAAATAGGGGAGGGGGGGGGGGCAAAACGGACCAACGGGGCAAAACGGGCCGGGGGGCAAGTTTGAGGGGAATCAGAAAGAAATCCAATGATGCAGACAATGTTCCATGCATTTATTGTGAAAAACGTTTTTATGACAGTGGTGGGGAGTGGATTCAGTGCCAGAGTTGCAACGGTTGGGCTCATTGTACCTGTGCTAACATTGATGAAAATGCAGGACCCACGTACTTTTTTTGTGACGAGTGCAAAGAATCAGACTAAAACTTTATTATTTATTACTAACCTCATATTTTATATTTGTTATTATTCATTATTGTTATTCATCATCATTGTTATTATTTATTTTTGTTATTAATCATCACTGTTATTATTTATTATTTTTATTAATCATCACTGTTATTATTAACTTCCCGGGATATGGAAGTTATTTATTATTGTTATTAATCATCATTGTTATTAATCATCATTGTTCTTATTCATCATCATTCCATCCAATTTCACCAAGACTTTTGATTAGAACGTGGATATTTTCGTATTCATTAGAATGAAGTTATCTTACCATGATGTTGTTCTCAATTTTCATTAATGGCAGTATACTTTTCACGTTCACCTCTAATAATAAATTATAAAAGTCAATTACGAAGTGAAAAAGGTGTCATTATTGAAAGAAAAAACTTTCCTGCGGGGTTTAACTGGTTCAAAAATAGTATCTGGCGTCTAACTCCATCACCCACCGACCACCACCTCCTCCTCCATCATTCTCACCCCTCCTATTCAGTGATGAATTTTGGAAAATTTTATTCGTGAGAAAAAAAAAACTTTTTTTTAGGGGTCCATTTTGCCCCCAGGGGTCCGTTTTGCCCCCTTGGTCCGTTTTGCCCCCCCCCCACCCCCTAGAGAGAATGGAAGTGGGTGAGAGGTGTGACTCGGATCATTTTCCGCTAGTAGTGTCAATGAGATATGGGGGGGGGGGTGGAGAAAAAGAGGAAATAAGAGGAAAAAGGTAATTAAGATATCACGTTGGTGGGAGAAAGAGAAGGACTTGCTCAAACGGGAGCTGGAGAGAGTATTGTGGGAGGGAGAAAGGATTGATGAGCGGATCCGAAAGGTGAGGAAAAGGGTAAAGTTAATAAAAGAGGAAATAGAGGGTGGTATAACGAGAAAAAACAAAAAGTGAGGGGACTGGTGGGATGAGGAATGCAGGGCGGAAAAGAGGGAGGTGAGGAGGACGCTAAGGAAAGTTAGGAAAGGAATGATAGAGAGATATGAATACAGGAAGAAGAAAGGGGACTACAACAAGTTATGTGAGGGGAAGAGAGAGGAGGAAAGGATTAAATTTGAAAAGGAGGTGGAAATGGCGATTCAGGAAGGTAAGGTATGGGAGGTGATAAACAGAGAAAGAAACGTATGGAAAGGAATTAATGAGGATATCAGTCCGAAGGAATGGCNGTGAAGGAACGGCAGGATTATTGTATGAGGTTGCTGGGAGGGGTGGAAGGGAGGATAGTAGGTGAAGGAAGAAAAAGGATAGCGGGAGAAGTTGAAGAGGGACTGTCGTTCAAGGAGGTAGAGGAGGCGTTAAAGAAGTTACAGGGTGGAAAAGCGGCAGGAGAAGACGAAATAGAAAATGAGGTGTGGAAGGAAGGAGTGGAGGGAATAAAAAGGGTAGCTTGGCGAATATGTGACGGGGTATGGAGGGGAGAGGGCTGGCCAGAGGAGTGGAAGGAGGGACTGTTAGCTCCGATTGTGAAAAAAGGGGAAGGGAAGAAAGTGGAGGATTATAGAGGAGTTACACTGATGCAAACTCTCTACAAAGTATACGCGGGAGTCCTGACGAGGAGAGTGGAAGAGGAAGTGGAGAGGAAAGGGATGGTTCCGGATAATCAGACTGGTTTCAGGAGAGGGATGGGGACCATAGATGATATCTATGTGCTGAACTACTTGGTCAACCGGCAGCTGGCGGAAAAGGGAGGTAAACTGCTCGCTTTTGTCATCGACCTGAAAGCAGCGTTTGACTCGGTCAACAGGAGCGTGCTTTGGAGGACGATGCTGAAGAGAGGAGTAGCAGAGGGATTAGTGGAAAGGGTAAAGGAGATTTACAGGGAAGCGGCGAGCAAAGTGAGGGTGGGGGATAAGGTATCAGAGAAATTTCGGACGGCCAGGGGAGTAAGACAGGGGTGTCCTCTAAGCCCAATTCTGTTCAACATTTTGTTGGCGGACTTGGAGGAAGAACTGAGTGGGAAGGGGAAAGGCGGGGCGGAATTGGGAGCGAAGAAGGTATTCTCGCTAGTGTATGCGGACGATATGGTGGTTCTGGCGAAGGATGAGGCAGGAAGAAGGATGGTCATGAGGTGTATGGGGGAATATATTGCGGCGAGGGATTTGGTGATAAACGTGGATAAGTCGAAGGTCATGATGTTCAGGAGAGGAGGGGGGGGGGGGNGGAGGGGTAGAGTGAAGAAAGAGATTTGGAAGTTGGGGGGGAGGGAGGTTGAGGAAGTGAAAGAGTTCTGCTACTTGGGTTATAAATTGCAAAGTAATGGGGGGCAAGAGAGTCAGATAAATAATAGGATAGGAAAGGCAGGGAAATTGATGGGGCAGGTATGGGAAATAGGTAAAAGAAGGTTTAAGAAGGACTGGAAGAGGAGGTTATGGCTGTTTGACTCACTGGTGTGGTCGGTCATGGAGTATGGTTCGCAAATATGGGGTTGGGTGGAGCGAAAGGGCATAGAGAGCATGCAGGAAAGGTATATGAGATGGGTTTTGGGGGTTGGGAGAGGAGTAGCGGGATATTTGATAAGGGAGGAGTTGAAAAGAGATAAGTTGAGATTGAGGGCTGCGGGGAGGGCGTGGAGGTTTCAGGAGAAATTGAGAAAGGGGGAAGGGAGCGAGCTAGCTAGGTTGTGTCCGAGGGAGATCGAAGGGAGGGAGAGTAAGAGAGAGGTGTCGAATTGGGAAGAAGGAAGGAGGAGGTTCAGAAGTGAAAGAGGCTTAGTGGCGAAGGGGGCGGAATGAGCAGGCGGCGAGGCAGGGAAGGAGACGTTTGAACAGGTAGAAAAGATGGATAGGGAAATGCAAGAGGGAAAGGGGGGAAAGGATAATGATGTCAGGTTCAAACAAGTACTACAAAGGAGTGGCAGTGGAAGGTATACCGTGGTATTTAGAGAGGGGATGGGGAGAGGAGAGATGGAGTAGCGTGGCGAGGTTCAGGCTTGGTCAAGGGTTGAGAGGGGAGAAATCTTGAGACGGGCAGGAGGGAAGGATATGTAGGAAGTGCAGGGGAGAGGATGAGACATGGGTGCATGTGATGGAAGAGTGTGTGGGAGAGGATGGACAGTTCAGGACGACTTGGGAGAGAGTGTGTGAGATATTGGATGAGAGCGGAGAGGGGGAAAAATGGATGCAAGAGTGGGAAGTTGAAGTTGAGGAGAAGAGCGAGAGTGATAAGAGTGATGATGTTTTTTGGAAACGCAAGCTCTTTGTATCCCCTAGGGGAATCAAATAAAGAATACATACATACATACTGAAATAATTTGTAGTTGATGAAGACCTCAAGCAGTTCGAATTGAATTTTTGAGAACTCCAAGGAAATTAAGAGCCTCAAGCAGTTGATAAGACTTATGGAATCTTGCGCAAGAGGCATCAACACAGTAAGACGTTCAACTCAGCATCAGCAGACATAAACATCTTCAAGTTCTTCAGACAATTCATCAACATCCCCACCACTAGTGGCAGATGGACAGCAAGCAGACATTCAACAAGAGACAAGCGAGTGAATTGCAATCAAGAGTTGTAATTCAACAGCAACCTCATTGATCACCCTCAGCATCGAAGTCCAGGGTCTTTAGAGATG